TAGATATAGTCAAAATATATCAACATATATGAATATATGTATACATGTTTATATGTGCAGCTACAGTTGGTATCCATTGATGAATCTCTATCATACTGGCTGCATTAATATCTGGAGAACAAATCATATGGGTTCTAAAAAAGGACTCCAGCACCACATGTAGTATTCAAAAACAACAAACATCTATGGACCTGTCCTTAGACTTTTGTCGACATCCTTATATACACATTCCGGACTACAATCTCCAGACATCGGTAATATTTGTGGGGTTAAACTTACCATCGTTGCATGCTATCAAAGTATGTGACTCAAAACATAAAATATACACACATACCTCGTTCAGAAACGCTGTGACCTCTCTCTGCGCCTTAGCTTTCTTATACCGTTCAACGGTCACTACTACACCGAAGCTCTTCTCATGCAGTGTGCTCTGGTGTACCTTACCCCCTGCCTTCCCATTGTTCGTGTATTTCTTTTTACGTTTACTATTGCCCTGTTTAGCTCCCCCTGCACCTCCCGCCGGCCGCTTTTGGTTACCACCCATAGCTTACACTTGAGGGATATACTTTATTTAGGAATGATGATATTCGGATACAAAGGTTGTAGATGTTTATAGTACGCAGCTCTGAAGCAGACGAAATGGCTCCGTATCTCACTTCCCGAGTGACGGAGTATGTGACTCCTCAGATGTTGACGGCTCAGCACCGGAGATTATGATATTATCGAGTAGTTATTGCGGCTGCAATTGAAGCTCGGTAATACCTAGCTTGAAAGATGATGTGCACTGAATATTGTCAAATGCTTGAAACCTGGAACAATTAGTGAATGTAAGAGTCCATGTTCTCTAGTAGTAGGTGTGGGCGTGGTTACCTGCTTTTAAAACAATCATGTATTCAAATATACGATTTATACATCACCAGCTTTTAAGTACCAACAGGTGGCACACTCAAATACTTTTTTTTAACACCATCAACCATACATAGCCTTCTGAAAATTACACACATAAACGCAACTCTGTATTCGATTTTGAATTTAGAGAGGGCTAAACATGCCGTGCGCAGACATTCTAGGGTTATTTTGCCACAGATAGTATTTTGGTTTCCATCAATCACACCGTTTGTTCCAGAGAGAGCAAGCATCTTGCCTTCCCCAGTCCCTCCCAGTCCCACTCCCACTCCCAGGGCCCTCTGGTCCTGAAGGCGGGGCTTTGCTGGGGGGAGTGGGGACAATCCTACTTTGAATTTTTTTCAGAAGGCTACATATGATTAAAAAACAACAAACAAAAAAAACAACAAAATAAGCCACTTCGGTTCCACCACTCATCATACAGCAATCAGGACACATAAATACGTAAATATTGTATGTACATAATTTTTTTAACGTATAAACGTTATATGGGTCATATGTACGTAACTATTTACATACCGTTTCAAATGTTTTGCGGCTGGCCTCTGGCCTAACCTCAAGCCGTTTTCCGTTAAAACATTTATGATTTAAAAAAATATACGTTTACGTTCAGCTTTTATTCTATATGCGGTCCTTTGTATGTTCACAGGTGCACCTTGTGGGTCTAAATATTTTAGTATATATGGTTTTAACCATATGGACCAGTCCTATATAAGAACTTAGGTAGGCTATTCTGAACACTCTAAAACCGATATAACGCTTAAAATTGAATAAATATGCGTTTACGTTAAACTACTATCCCATACCCCCATAACGTAATGAGCTTTGCCTCTGGCTGTCTGCCGTCGTCTGGCATAGACAATTAGACATCAAATAAAAATAAAATTGAACACCTCTGTAGCGAGCCGTAAACTTTGTAAATTTTGGAAAATCACAACATTATGTTCGGAGAATGTCTAATTATCGGACAAACTGTTTAAAACACGATGAAATCTGACAGTGATTATTATGCCCCCAGATGGCATATATGAAGGTGATACATACCTTTTGCGAATGCTGCTTACCACTTCATCTTACCAGTTCATCGTAATAGCGTAGTGAGAATGAATGCTAATCACTTATATGGGTTCTATGTACGCTTATACCTTGCCATATTATAGCTTATAGTGAAATTGGATATACGGTTAAGCTTGAGTTGATATTCATTTGACTTGGTAACACCGAGATAAATATACACCAAATAATGGCTTTAATACAACGGCAAATACTCAACGTCAGTATCTATTTTATACACAGAACAATATCTATTGATATTAGCATGTTTGCTTTACGGTGCGAGCAAGTAAAATAACCTAGCGTAGTGTTGCAGTACCCAGACAATAAGCGCTCGCAAGGTTCAATACTTTTCACAACCATGCTACTGGTTCGGGATCTTTCATGATACTAACTGGTACTTGAAAATCACTTTGACAATTTGTAAAATGAATGCCTTACGTATACCTCACCGTTCATGTGACGCAAAAATACAATTTGACATCTCATAGATCATAACTTTCACAAGTTTCTGAAAAAAAAGGGCAAAATTCAAGTAAACCTCGGAAACCGACAAAATATACCCAGAAGTATCCACAAATGAAAAATAGTTCAGTTGTGTCTTGTTGACTCGAGTGTAGTAGTGGCGACTCGAGTATACTCGTCAAAACTCGCAAAAGTAGCGAAAGTCGCTAAAGTCGCGAAATTTCGCAAATTATCGCGAACTGCAGCGGAAGAATACAGGGACTATCTGCAGGTTAGGAAAATCCCCACTGTGTAGAGTACCATATTGGGGTGCTCTAAGGACCTACGGTGGAGAATTTCAAAATTCTAACTCTATCAGCAGCAGCTATTGGCACTGAAGTTTCGCGATTTATCTCGAAATCCCGCGAAATCCCAATTTTCACAACCAAATAACTGACGATAGAGTTGAAATTTCGAAATTTTCCACCGCAGGTCCAAAGAGCTCACAAATATAATACTCCACACGGAGGGGATTATCCTCATAGTGCATAGGGTTTCTGTAATCCTCCGCTGAAGTTGCGATTTTCGCAACTTTTTACGACTTTTCGCGAGTTTCGAGAGTTTCGCAACTTTGCACAACTATTTACACTCGAGTCCACAAGAGTGAACTGGATTTTCATTAATAGGTACTTCTGGGTATATTCAGTCGATTTGCGAGATTTTATTGAATTTTGCGTACTTTCTACACATAGTTGTGACAATTTTGATTCCTGCGCTGTCAATTTGTATATGTACTACACTAAACGACGAGACATACATGCGGCACAGATTATTAAAGTCGTCGTGATTCATTGCTAGTTGGTATCAGGGTGTGGCAGATCTCACATTTGTGTGAACGTATTGGAATACCTCACCAAACTTCCAATTTTGTTTACTAGAGCGCTTGTATATCTACTGCAACACTATGAAAGGCAACACTTGCTCGCAATGTAATACACATAGGAGTCAAAAGGTATTTCTCTGTTTATGAAGAACACACTGACTTCTTTAATTCCGAGATATGTGGTAATATCAATCCTGTCAAGCTTAGCTGTGTGAACAAAATAACTATAAATATATTCCAACGCATAAGCCTACTAAATTGATCATATCCATATAAGTTGATAACATCCGTTCGCACTACGCTATTGCGATGAAGTAGTATCCAGTTTTTGTATGGTATTTATCTGTACAACTAACTGAGATCGAGCAATGATATCTGCCAACTTGAATCATAGATTCGGTAAGAATTTATCGTGTTCATAGAAAGTTTTTGTCTGATGTTTATTGGACATTCTTTGAATTGCGGGGGGGTGGGGGTGGGGTTGGGTT